TTGTGTTAACAGTTGTAATTTCCTAGATTGAATATCGTTAATTATTGTTGTACGCGTTTTATTAACTGTAGCAAAATCTGTTAACGGAAAACCCAAATGTTTACAACACAAATATTGAAAAGATTTATTGTATTACAATATTTATGTGGTCGAGCCAGACGCCCGATTCAGACAGTTTTTGCGATTGTGTCCGACCTGACGGCATAAACCACACTTTCTTTCCAACCTGTCAAGATCGTCCATTTCTGTTGTGATGCGCCTACTTTTGGGACGACCCTTCTTGTTTCTTCTCATTTGGTCATTGTGCCAAACTATATCGCCGTTGTATTCAGGCCAATAATTCGGTTTTGCCACCAAAGGAAAGTTGTTGTTGTAAACAGTGAGCAACGTTTCAGATTTGTAAACGTTTGACAGCAGTTGAAGCGCGTCTTGATGGGTATGAGCACAAGCGGCAATGACATGAGATCAAGGCATACGAAATGCTTGAAACCTGCCACAATCGCACCATTGAGAAGGTAAAATGACCCTGTATTCTTGTCTTGGCAGGCCTTCATTGTGGTCGATTGTCTCTTTCACAATGAAGTTGTGGCTGTGTTGGTCAAATCGTATAACCATGTGAGTGTTGGCTTTAGCACTTTCAGCCTTAATGTATTTCATGCAGCTTTCACTCCATAGTTGTCCAGATTGCAACACCGCATTCCACATTTCACCTCTTTTGGCAAATAACGCAGCCATCCTAAAATACGTAGATTTTACCAAGGCAGTGATTGGGAGGTTTCGTATGCCCTTGAATACCCCATTCATTGATTCAATAAGATTCGTTGTCATATGCCCCCATCTTTGGCCATTGTCGTATGACCTAGTCCACTTTTCCACCGGAATATTATCGATCCACCTACCGGCTTCTGGATTAGACAAACGGATCTCGTTGCGGTAATATTTGAATGTGGGTTGTGTCAATGCATATCCCGCATTCATAACCGCTTTCCTCAATGTTTTGTCCTTGACCTCCCTCGAGAAATTCTGGATGATATGCCTGACGCAATAGACATGCGTAGAAGGAGGGCCATGCCAACCATTTGCTGGATTATTGTAGGCACTTTCAATGGAGGCATGTCTGTCCGAGATCAAACAGAGATCTGGTTGAGGAGCCACGTGTGTCCGAAGATTTTTCAGGAAAAAGCTCCAAGCACCACCGGTCTCCCCCTCAACAAGGGCAAACGCAACGGGGAAAATGTTGTTGTTGCCATCTTGTGCAACTGCCATCAATAGCGTGCCTTTGTACTTCCCATACAACCAAGTCCCGTCAATTTGTAGAATTGGTTTGCATGATGCAAACCCTGTGATGCATGGTTGAAATGCCCAAAACACGCGACTGAATATTCCGTTGCCATGCAGTAGACTACCATCTTGGGCGTACGCTGGCAATGTTTCCAAAACATAAACACTACCTGGAGAATACGTCTTGAGTGCATTCAGGTAGCGGGGAAGTTCTCGGTATGACTCCTCCCAGTTTCCGTACACCCTTTCAATCGCCTTAGTCTTTTCTAACCACGCCTTACGGTAAGACGGAGTGTATTTAAAAACCGTGGTGATGTGGGAGATGATTGTTTTCACCTTCAAAGATGGGTCGTTGCTGACCAGGGGTAGAATTTCTTGACAGATTAGATCATAGTTGAGTTTTCGATGGTCCTGTGATTGAGTGGAACTTACACAAGTGTGGGTAGTCATGGAACCTATGACCCAGCAGTCACCCCTTAATCTGTATGATGCGGTCAGCTTGAACATACAGTCAGGGTGGACACACTTGATCTTGTACCTTTCCGGGTTGACACGATCCACCTTAAAATCAACCGAGTTGAGCATGTGAAATTTTTTAATGGCCCTGATGCATTCTTCTCTGTTACGAAAATTGTCCTTCTCTTTTAAATTTTCATCCGACTGCATATACGGTTTGAAAAATAAGTCAGTAGAAGGTTCATCTCCGTCCATGTTGAAGTTTGTCATGTGCGGAGGTGGTGTGTAGATTTTGTCTGTAGGAATACTAGGGATGCCATCATCGTTAGAATCACCGTTCACCATTTCATTAAACTCTAACTCGTTATCTTCTTCTTCATCATCAACTGCATCTACCTCATCTTGTTCATTCTCCAAAGGGTCAACCTCCTGTGTCACCGGAGGCTCTACCTCCTGTGTCACCGGAGGCTCTTGAAGCAAAACGTACAACTCAATAGAGTCGTATCCAGAATAGACATGGCTGGAAATCATATTCTGGAGATCCTCGTCATCTTGAACTTCAACCTTATAAAAATTACTTGGTTGTTTAAAAAAAAACTGGATTCTGATAAAATATCTGGGACACCGGGCCTCGTTCAAGTTTGGCCTCCAATCTTTTCTTGAAGTAGGAGAAATTGGCTTTCCCGTTTAAGAGAAATCGAATGTTATCGGTGTTTCTAAACAAAAACCCAACTGTGGGACAAATGTATGTCTCACCGTTGAAATGTGCTTTGACGACAAATTATGGCGAAGAGGCTATTGCGTAGAATTGTTTTAAGGTTTGAAGGTTGGAATGTTTGAGGTTTATTGATTGTATGAAGGTATGAATGATGTAATGTTTGAAGGTTGGAATGTATGAATTTGATGACTGATTCGAAGGTTGGAAGATTTGACAGATTATGTGAATCAATGTTATGTTAAACGTAAGGCTAAAAATTTCAATTAAGTAAGGATGCAACCCCCCAAGGCTGCCAATAATATTACATGCAATAATGAAACCCCATAGGCTGCCACCTAGCCTGGCCCTATTCTGCACATATACATGTTTTTTGTAAGACTCCACCCATCAACTCCAATGGACTTGCATGCAATAATGAAAGGAATCCCAAAGGCTGTCACGTAGCCTGAGCCTATGCTGTAACAAATGATACCTCTTATTCGCCAAATGGGGTGGCGACACCATTCATTTTTGTACTCTTTCGCCAAGTCCAATGGCGCCTCCCTTACTGTCCAATCGTGATACATGCATGGGCTTATGAAACTCCATAGGCTGCCACCTAGCCTGGCCCTATTCTGCACATATACATGTTTGTTGTAAGACTCCACCCATCAACTCCAATGGGCTTGCATGCAATAATGAAAGGAATCCCAAAGGCTGTCACGTAGCCTGAGCCTATGCTGTAACAAATGACACCTCTTATTCGCCAAATGGGGTGGCGACACCATTCATTTTTGTACTCTTTCGCCAAGTCCAATGGCGCCTCCCTTACTGTCCAATCGTGATACATGCATGAGCTTATGAAACCCCATAGGCTGCCACCTAGCCTGACCCTATTCTGCACATATACATGTTTGTTGTAAGACTCCACCCATCAACTCCAATGGACTTGCATGCAATACCAGCACAGCCACATACCCCACACACAATTTCAATCTTCCACATATCCCAATATGGCGCCCTCAACATCCAGCTTTAGCCCTGATATGGGAATGTCGGAAGATTATGACCAAGCCGACCAAACCTACCATCACCCACCATATCACCATATCACCAAACCACCCAACATCCTCAATACCAAACACCCCAAAATCCATTTCCTTTCTACCCCCCGTACTCAGACGACCAATGCTACAGACCAACAATGGAACCCCATCCACCGCCAACACGACCAAACTTTGAGGGTATGGGTAACCGACTGTACCAGAGCGGATCTTCTAGATATGGAGATCTGACTGATTTTATGGATTCGGACTGCATTGACTTCGCTGGGCCATCGACCTTGCCGCAACAGGAAACGCGACGGCACCCAGCAAGAGAAAGGCGAGGACGGGGATGCGGAACCGGGGGTCATTACCGGGTTCCGGGGGATCACTGATGTATCTTTTTTTTTTCCAGTATTTTTGTATCCATTTTTTTTACTGTTATTTTAATGTAATACAGTTGGATGTAATTATTTTTTTTTAAAAAAAAAGTCTATTTTGTTGATCTCTGTCCAACAGGCAATGCACAGGAAAAAAAATTAAAAAAATTTTTTTTGACCCTAAAAATACACTTAGGCGCCATCTCACTTGGCTTAGGGCATGCTCTAAGCACATAGGCGCCAAGTGAGATGGCGCCTCCCTTAAAAAAAGAGGTGCATGCGCCATTTCAGATGGCTCCTCCTTTGGAGTGTCATCTGAAACATAGTTATTTGCGTATTTTTTTTCGAAACCCGATTATTTGTGAAATATTATTTTAATATTTGGTTATTAATAAAAAAAATTCAATATTTGTAAGCTTTGCAAAACATTACGATATTAGCAAAGGACAAACACTAAGTCACAAGTGCTTTTCATTCATTATTTTTCTTTAAAAAGTTAGTCACTTATAATCAAGGTGTATTAAATTTACCATTCAGAGTGAGTTTTTGGAAAAAATCACTTTGTAATTTTTTCAAAGTTCTCTAATGTGAAGCAAGTAAGTCCTAAAACATTTAATGCAAGGAAGTTCTTACAAGTGGTAAGAAAATAAATTCCTCTAGTGTAAGACAAGAAAAATTAAGAATACATTGTCTTAGTGTTTATCTATAATCAAGTGTGATAATAGAAGAAATCTCTCAAATGTGAAGAGGTTTCCAGAATTGTGAGTTTGTATCTAAATTGATACAATTTCAAATTTATAAATTTAACTCATAGAAAATATATTGTGTTGTAAGAAACCGCGTTTTCACGCTATACACTGGCCACACAAACCCTACATGAAAAAGTCCAAACTTTGAATATGCTACATCAAATATTAATCTAGAAATAGCCATGAAAAATTCAAAGTGTGAAAGGTTAAACATGGATATACCAAACAGGAAAGTTCTGTGTTACGTATAGACACAGAATGATTCACATGGAAGCACACTGTCGTATTCTTCACTTGGAAGCAGAAACAGAAAAACAATCTATTATAAATATTTCTTCAATCTCTTCTCATCTTATATATTCTTTCAATCTCTGCTCATATAATCTATTTATCTTTATACTCTCTTCTCATTTTTCTTCTTTATCAAAAACATACATAACATGGGTTCTGTTGCAATCAAAGTGTTTTTGATATTGGGCTTGTTGGCTACCTCATGCATAGCACAACAAGCTCCTGCACCCGCACCTACCCCATCATTATCACCAAATTCAGCACCAGCTCCATCACGCTCCTCAACAAACACATCACCAACACCTTCTCCTTCAACGACTTCTTCTCCAGCTCCCGCTCCTGCAACCACTTCTTCTCCAGCGCCCTCTACTTCATCACCAACCCCAAACACTTCTTCTCCACCAGCACCAGGAACAAATGGTCCAGCATCAAGCCCAGGAGAAGCTGAGGTACCTTCAGCTGCATTCTCAATCACCAAAACCTTTGTTGCCGTTACATCTCTTGTTGGAATCTTTGTTTCCATGGTTTTAGCTTAGAGCATAAAGATATTTTTTATTGTGTTTATTGAAGTCTTGTTTGGAATTCATTTAATATTTTTGTATAACCAATAAAATGTTTTTTTTTCCTTTTTGAATAATTTAATAAATTTCTAGTGCTTGATGATGAGGATTATTATATTCTATTAGTGATTTTTTCTAGGATTCACTTTATTATGTTTTTTTATAAATAAATTCAGAGAATAGTATATTTAGGATGTAAACGGATAAGAAAAAAATTAATTAAACTGACAAATTAAATTAAAATAAAATGATTATTTTTGGTTCGGTTCTAAAATTTAATCGAATCAATAAAAATATATGTGATTTGATTCAGTTCTTGATTTTAATTTTTAGGAATTAATAAATTGATGAACTAAATTAATGGGTATAATTACGTTCTAAATTTTTTATTTCATCAACTATTAAATTTAAATTGTATATGGATCTAACCATTTTTCGTATTTGTTTAAGCTTTTTTTTTTTAGTAAAACATGTATCTAGAGCTAAACTCCTAAACATAGAAAATAGAAATTATACGTTACAAAAACTTGTTTTCACTGAATTGTTGATCTCTTTATCGTCGTTTTGATATGTTATAATCTTCTTCGTGTTCAAATTCTCTTTGTTATTTATCAATTTTTTTTACCTTTTTTGTTTCTGTAATAACTGGCTGAAAATAACGAGTCGTCACCATTAATTTTTATCCTAAGGAATGTAATATAATGGGTAATCCTAATTTGGATAAGAGATTCTAAATTATTGACTCGTTTTAGATGAAGGGAAGGTGTTAGGCACCCTTCATCTATCTTGTTCACAAGGATACTAGAGTTTATGTTTAAGATTTAGGAATAGGGTTTTAATTTTGTAGTTAGGGAAATTCGCCACGATTTTTGGTCGTATGCCTACGTATCCTCTTATGAGGAATCAGAGTTCCAATTTGTAGTTCGTAGTTGTTTGGTTAATTTTTTTATGGATTATGGAAATATCTCAAACTTTCCTTGAATCAAGTATGGGTGTGTGAATAGCGGAGTCGCAGTCGATAAAGAAATTTTCATAATCCTTCTTGAAAATATATAAGTTTGAATTAGGTTAGTAAGAAAAAGTTAGTATTTGATTGGTTAGATGTTTTCGAATATATGATGCAATTTTGAATGAAAAATATTTAACGCAAACATATAAAAAGAGTTAGTATTTTTAAAAAGAGATTTTAATTAGTAAATATCTATTTTATAATTTATTAAAAATATAAAAAATATTCTAATAATTATTTATTAATTATGCAAAATAATAGGTTAATGTGACAAGTTAAAAATAAATAAATAACTAAATTATAAAAAATAAATTAATTATATTTTAAAAAATGCAGGGGGTGTAAATTTAGTTAGCTAGTAAAAACCTGGGTGTGTACTAGAAATATATTCAGGCCCAAAAGAAAATCTTAGCCAAAATAGCAAGGGGGTGCTGATTATAATAGAATAGTAAAACTGGAGGGTCTAAATATTAGTGGTCCAAGTCCAGATGTTGGACTTGGCCTAGAATGCCTGAGGGGTATGTTGTTGAACTAAGGAAGTAATTGCGAGGGTTAGTTTAGCAATGGGCTTGGCCCAACACCGTTTTTTAATCCAAATGTGGGGTGTATATCCAGCTTAGTAAGTAAAACAAAAAGACGAACGAGGTGAGGTTATTAATTGTGCTCGGCCCAACATGAAATTATTGAGGTCCATTTCATTCGTACGTGAGGGAGTCTATGGTAATACGATGGGCTAGCGCAAGGGCCGATCGCTTGATCATGATCAAAGGGACGTGATTGAGGGTACAGGGTAAGGGTGCATGGTATTGCAAGCACGGAATCACGATGGAGTATATTTTTCTATTTTCTTTTTCATTCTCTTAATTTCTGCTTCTGTCTCTCTCTATCTACCCCACATTCTCTCACATTAAACAAAAACTATAGAGAGATGCTCTCCCATCTCTCTAGAAAATCGCCTTCCACCACCGGCTAGAAATCGGCTCCGCCGGTGGATGTTCATCTGAAGCCCAGAAAACCACCACATCATACCCTAACCCTTGAAGATCAAACCCTAAACCAAAGAACCCTAACAATATCCAACATAAACCCTAAAAACCCTAGCCTACTCCAAACCCAGAAACACGAACCCTTAGAACCCTAGGGTTCTCGTATGAACCCTAACCCTTATTAGGAAAACCTTAAATCTAACCTAACCCTAAAACCCCAATTTAAACACAAATCTCAAATCAAACCCCAATCATGCAATAAAACACCGATCATTAGGCAATCAAAACCCTAATATCTAAGTGATTTCAGGCTTACTTGAATTCGTGGTTACTCTTTTCGTTCTGCTTCTAGTTTCTCCTCCTAATTTCTTCTTTTCTTTCTTTGATTCGCATGTACAAGATCGAATATGGCGATGGTGACGATAATGGCGTAACTCAGATCTAGGGTTTCAAAATTGAAACCCAGATACCTGTTCTCCTTCTCCTCGATCAAAACCCCGATTTTTTTTCTCTAGTTAGTTCTAGAATTAAGTATTTATAGGCTTTTAGAGATTGGCATTTTAGGAAAATTGTTAGATTTCTGTTACTTTTTAGAGATTGATTCTGATTGAATCAATCTAAGATTTGATTAGCAAATCAGAGATTAGATTTGATTTCGTATAATATTTGATTTAGGTTTTGTGATTTTGCAATGTACTTGGACCTTTCTTACGTTGTAAATTCATTTTCAATAAAATAAAAACAAATATCTTGATTTCCAGATTTGATTGAAAATATTTGATTTAAATCTGTCTAAAATCTGGGCTTGGGTATCTCATTTTCTTAGGAAAGGGGAGAAACAGTAGTGCCGTTGATAGGGAAAATAGCAAGTGTACTATTTTGCCTTGCAGTAATAAGAGGAAGTTTCACCCGAATGTCGATCTCGAGGATTGTGTATAGTATCGAGTTTAATGCGTGGTTCAATTAAACAAAAATTTATGTTTGCTTTGGTTTTCGATTTAACCTTAATAATTATGAAAATAAACAGAATGTAAATTATGACCTTTTTTACTAGAATTAATATTATGCTAGGGGTAAGTGTGTGATTTTCCCTGTAATGACCCTGAATGTTGATCTCTTCAACCATTTCATAACCTTCAACTATCAGATCTTTAGGTTGTTTTCTCCCAAGTCCTCAGTGGGAAAATCTTTGGTCAACCATCCTAATATCTGAGTCCTTAGAAAATTACGATGTTACCAAGCCTTCAATATTATCAGGATTGCACTGGTAACTATATAGTATCCCTAGTCTTAGGTGATATCTAATATAGTTTAATCGTATAAAAAAACCTTAACAACGGCGGTCCAACCCTAATTTTTAATCATAGATAAATCCTAATTGGTCCGATCAAGAATGCATAAGAAACATTGAACGATTAAATTGAAAGGAAATTACTGGGTTAAAAATCAATAATTCATAGTCATTACACTGCAAAACAGAGACATCCCCTAGCATTGGGGGGGTTTAGCCGTACATAATATTCAAAGAAATTACAATAAGAAGGTTAGACATTTTAAGATAATTGGATTTCGTTGATCTTCAATCGCGATTGCTCTTGAAAAATCTCTGTTCTCCGAATCCCTTGAAAGCTCCAATTTTTATCGTAGAATTCTTCTAATGTCAAAAAGTCCTTTTATTCCTTGTGAAAACTCATTTAAATAGTCACCATTCATCCATGTCGGTTGGAAGTACCCAAAACGCCCTCATAACTTAACATATGGAAAAATTATGAAAAAAAATCAGGAAATCAACGTCACAGGTTAACACGGCCCGTGTCAGGAAACACGACCTCCCGTGTTGGCCCCCAAACTCCCAAATCTTCTTTTAAGGTCCCAAGGGTTGTAACACGGCCCGTGTCAGGCAACACGGCCGCCCGTGTTGCACCTTGGACTTACATCTTTCTTCATTCGCCCATCCTGACATGGCCCGTGTCAGGCAACATGGGTGGCCATGTCAGACCTCCTGTAGGTGGATTTTTGACTTTCTCCGAAACTCTGAGTTTTTGCATATTTTCGCCATGAATTATCCTGTTTTATTCCTCTGACCCAGAAAAACACTAAAACACACAACCAAAGCATAATATGCGGTAAAATGAAATAAAAACACTCGATAATAAAAAAAAGGTAACTGTAATTCACGAGAAATAATTGTGTAAATACCACTGATCAAACTCCCCCAAACTTAAATCTTTGCTTGACCTCAAGCGACCATTACAAGAACTCATGAAAATCACAACAGCTCGATACTCATACGTGAGACACCCGTTCAAATTGATCAAAAAGCAGTCCGTTCGATGTTCACATGACGCGAAGAGTTTGTGTAAGAACCTTTAAATATTGAGCTTCCTCTTCAAATACCTCTCTAACTATGCTTTATACTTAAGTCTCTTTCTGATTTTCCTCCTTTTTCATCCAGACATTCAAATTAAGGCAATGAGAATTATGATGATCATCACATGCACAAGACTAATCAAAAAATTTTGTTTAGGCACCAAATAAGTAGCATGGGATACTTTTAATTGTCGATGAAATTTTCAAACTTTGCAGTGATATATTGTCCTTTTGGACTACGTGTGGGGATCAACCCCCTTTGGGATGAATAACGGGGTGATGGCTACCCAACTAAGCAAGTCAGTTGCCTTTTACCGCCTTTTCATCATTGGTGCCAACTTTATTTATTTCTCAACCAAACAGACCTGCATGTGAATCTAGATTATGCCAGACTGTATTGATAAACTACTCAAAGAGTACTTCTCAGGATTCAAGCACTATGGTAAAAATATACACGTTAGACTTGTATCCTTGTCACGTTACTCCAAACTTCCTACCCTTAACCAATTATCCCTTTGTCTCTATATAATATTCCCGAACTCTATGAGAACCAAGTTCTTGAGCAAAACAAAAAATTTCGGCCAAAATTTGGAGGACT